CTGCACCCGATGCAACCATCACAAAACAAGAGACCCGAGAACTAGAAAGGCGAGGCTTCACCACCCATTTATCCCTCCGCCTTTCAACCAGCATCACATGTGATTATCGGCCAGGCTGGCACAATTAACTAACTCAGAAGTTCATTAGGTATATTGGCCTGTAGTTCTCTATTCTTGTGGGACCCTTGGCCGGTTTTGGTATCAGAGTTATGCTAGCTTCAAAGAAGGAGTTTGGGAGTTTGCCATCTTTTTCTATATTCTGGAAGAGTTTATGTAGGATTGGTGTTAGTTCTTCCCTAAATGCTTGGTAGAATTCTCCAAGGGATCTGGTCCAGGGGATTTTTTGTTAGCAATCTCTTGATAACCTTGTCTATTTCTTCTATTGCTATGGGTCTGTTGAGATTCTTGACGTCCATTGAGGATAGTCTAGGGAGGGATTGTTTTTCAAGAATTGATCCATGTCTTCCAAATTCTTGAAGTCATTGGAGTACAATCCCTCATAGTACTGTGTAATTATCCGTTTGATTTCATTAGGGTCTGTTGTAATGTCTCCTCTTTCATCCCTTATTCTTGCTATTAAAATTTGTTCCCTCCTTTCTTTGGCTAGGTTTGCCAGTGGTCTGTCGATTCTGTTTATCCTTTAAAAGAACCAAATTTTAGCAGCATTCATATTTTCCATAGTTTTCTTAATTTCCCTCTCCCGAATCTCAGCCCTGATTTTTATAATTACTTTTCTTTTGCTATTAGTAGGATTGTCCTGCTGACTCTGCTCTAGTTGCTGTAAATTTTGTGCCAGCATATCAATCCTATATTTCCATTTGGTATATGGCCTTTATCTCCTCTATCATTTCATCCTTTTTCTGTATTGTTTCCGTCATATCCTGTATGACTCCAAGCAGCATTTTGAAAATTTCTTTCTGTGGCAGCTCAATGTCTGCTTTTTCTATGCAGGTCGTTATGTTTGGGACATCTTCTGCCATTGACTTTTGTTTCTCCTGTTTTTTCATTGAGGTCATTGGGGCTGATGGCTGTTTGCATTGCTTTGTTTTAGAGTAGCCAGGTGCCATTTTTCTGAGAGTCGAAGAGCACTGGCTCTCTCTGGGAGGCTTGTAGGAATGCTTCTTCGAACTGCCTACAGCTAATTTCACTATGGAATTAACCTACCACTTTATCCTCCGGTGGCTTCTCTCTCAGGGAAGTGTCCCAGAATGCTTGTGGGTTGCCTGCGCTGGTGTTGCAGAGGTTGGGCAGTGGTTCCTGCAGCAGATTGGAATGTTGATGAGTGTTGGTCCAGCTGCCTTATGCCCACAGGTACATAGGCAGGAATTCCCGGGTAAGAAGTTGGCAGAGTATCCCCTGGTGGAGGTGGAGGTCAGCAGGCTTTCCTCAGCCTCGGGCTAGCTACACAGGGTGGAGCTCACCTAGCTGGGTGTTGCACAGGCATAAATGCCCTAGGCTAAGGTGAGTGGTCTGGAGGTCAGCAGTGGAGTGTGAGAGAACAGGAAAGAGACAAGGAGGAGAAAAAATACGAAAAAGTAAGCCCCCTTAGACTGTACGGGTATATAGGGAAGAGAGGAAAACAAAAGCAACAATGTAGCTGAGTCCCGGACCCGGCCTATGGAGCTGTGAAAGTTTAGTCCCTGCCCTGAGGCAGCAGCGGCAAGCTGTGGCTGTGTTGAGAAAAAGCCCCTGCGCAGACCTCCAAGATTGGGGGGGAGGGGGAATAGAGGGGAAAGATGGAAACAAAAGTAGCAATGTAGCTGAACTCCGTTCCCTGCCCCTGGAGCTGCAAGGGTCCAGTCCCTGTCCCGAGGCAGGCAGCAGGAAACTGTGGCTGTGTTGAGACCAAGCCCCCCTATGGGCTCCAAATGGTCCTGGCTCTGCAGAGACAGTGGCGGGGCCAAGGTCAAGCCCCAGCCGGCTTCCACTGAGGTAAGCCAAC